ATATACGCTGTTCACTCTAAGTGATCCCTGTAATAAGCAGAAATATACTGTGTATTTAATTATTGTTAAAGTTACAATAAAATAGCACATTGCTATTACTGAAAGTGAAATGTAAGTCAGCAGTGTCTCCATTAAATATTTTGATTTGAATCCATTAGTCGTTGACAGTCTGACCATAAAAATCAATAGTATACAGCATGTCTTATTTATGAGCTCAATAGCTTTGCCAAGGGGATTGTATTTTTGGTTCCGTGTGTTGGTTAGCAGGACAAACAGCTGGATGGATCATCAGTGTACTTGGTGCTGACATTGGAGGGAACCAACCCTAGAATTGATTAGATTTTGGCTGAAAAGGGTCAAAGGTCAAGGTCACCCAAAATAATGAAACTCACAAAAATCCTCATCTTTAACATGGGGCAAAAAAATTTATATCTCTGTCAAAAATTATCAAAATCATTTGAAATTTGAAAAACATATGCAGGGCGACAACCTCTAGCACCACACCAAATTTCATTGGAATTTAAATTTGGGATTTTAAATTTCGTATCTGACGGCCATTTAACTTTAACACAGAAAACCCCATTTAATACATATATTCTGCCATAACTTGGCCTGTAATGAAGACAGAACATTGAAAAACAGTATAACTGCCTATCATACCCTCGATTTGTTCGGGATCAAGGATTTTAGGGCACATTTTGTGTTGTTTTTTATTTTAAACTGAAATGGTATGTTTGAGATTAACTGGAGACTGAGAGTCATATTTAATGGCCAAGTATGTTTAAACATACAAGGAATTTGACTTTGTTCCAGAGGCTCAGTGTGATTGTAAGGCACCAGGAAAATAGAAGATGACAATGCTAAAAAACAAAATAATAAAAGAGGATAAGAACACTGAAGATAAAAAATATAAACATGTGCATTCAAATTTGAAACATGTGCAATCCAAATTATGAAAAGGATGAGAGAACAAGAGAGACAGCATTTATAAATATGGCAGAAGAGCTTTCAGACTGATATATAATGGTTATATTTACAAGTTATTGCACTGTGGTGAATGCTGTGCCTTGTCATACAATCATGGGTTAAGTGTTCATCAGAGTGACGGCCTGGGAAAAGAAACTGTCTCTGTGCCTGGTTGTCTTGGGGAGGAGTTCAAACACTTCATGTCCAGGATGTGAGGGGTCTGCAGAAATCTTCTCTGCCCTCCTTTTGACCCATGAAGTGTACAGGTCCTCCATGGAGGGCAGGCTCACACCAATGACCTTTTCTGCAGTCCTGACTGTCCGCTGAAGTCTGTTCCTGTCCTGTTTGGTTGCTGAGCCAAACCAGACAGTGATGGAAGATCAGTGAACAGACTCAATGATTCCTCTGTAGCACTGTATCAGCAGCTTCTGGGGCAGGTTGAGCTTCCTGAGCTTCTCCTGAAGTCCACTGTCTCTCCACGGGCTTAAGCGTGTTCAGTTCCGAGTTGTTTGGACTGCACCACAGGGCCAGCTGTTCAACTGACACTCAACTGTTCATCCATTTTTATGAGCAATTATCATCTTCATTGCCATATGATTATCTCCACTGCAGTACCAGTCCTAATGATGTGTAAATCGTCAATATGGGAATTTGTTTCACTTGGCAGAGTTCAGCTGTTAACTCTGCTTTGCTTTGTAGACAGATGATTTGCTTCCTAGAGCGTGTTAAGATCCAGAATGTTTTTTCTCTCTGTTAATTAGACAACTTAAAGTGTACACTAGACAAAGGAGACCTCCCAGTGACCGGTTTCCTTCTGTAGTAAAGTAAACAGTGTATTTGTTTTCAAGTTCTTGCTCACTCAATGTTGTTGCTGCTTTTGCTTGCCAGTTATGAATCATAACAAGCACAAAGCAAACTTAAAGCAGTAGGCTTAGATGGAAACTGATGGTATTTTGCTTTCTTAGAAACTGGGCTTATTGGACCTGAGAAAGGCAGAACTAAACACGCAGCCACCCTTAAGAGACACTTCATGGTTATACCAAGTGCCCATCTTTCTTCTTAAAGTTTATTTATGTGAATGACATTCATAACGTCACTGGCCCTTAAGATTCCCAAGAAAGCTGGTCTCGGGCCCTTTATTGTTTTGAGACATGCTGGTCAACAGATCAGAAATCTAAATTCATCGTCAAATAAAACAGACTGGTGCAATTTTCCTTTGTAATTCTTCTGCTGTGCTTGATCATTGGCTCAGTGAAGTGAATTGTTTTATAGGCTGCTGGCACTGCTGCCTCCGCCTCTTCACCTTCAGCTACTCTATAGGAAATCATGCATGACTGTTGCTCACAACCATCTGCAGGCACCCAGACAGAGGAGTTAACATACAACATGCACACTTTATAAGACCGCATGTATACGCACTTTCACACCGCTGAAGGGGTGTTAGTTGTGAAATACTGTTGCATTACAGTCTGACAAGGATACAGAGGAAACAGCTTAAGCTAATCACTTACTCGCCCACGTGCTGCCATGGAGGAAATGGATATGATTGATGTTGATGGATGAAAATGAATATTGTTGACTGATCCCAGAGTATGAAAGCCTGTTCCAGACAATGTGAGTGGGAGACCAAACAGTCTGCAATGGTTTTCATTTCAAAACTTGCAGCTGTCCACCTTATGCTTCATATAAAGTAATGGAAGGATTGAATTACCATAATCTAATGGGCTGGCTCTTATTTTATTGCCATTTATTTTAGTGTAGTACTACTACTACTAAATTAGTACCTAATACTTGTAAATAAGTGCTTACTAAGTCCTTACCTTATAATCACCTTGTCAGAACAGGTTTTACAGTAGGAACTTCTGGTATATTAAGTTTTTTACTCCAGGCCTGTTATATCAGCTGTTCTGTCTTTCTTTCTGGATTTTTTTCTGTTTAGCATTTTGGCTAAATTAGAGTATTACTATGTGCCGGTATCAAATAGTTATAAACTGAATACTAAACATAGAATGTGGACTTGTCCCAGCTGGTCCTGGACTAAAATCCCAAATCCATAAATAGGGAGGGCCCAGGATGACTGCTCCACTGTGATGTTTGAGATGCTGGGGATACAGATCAGACACATACTGATGTTTGGTGCCCTCTGGTGGGGAAAGTCTTTATGGCAGCACTTTTATCACCTGGGCACTGAAAATCTCAAAGCATTCGTCTTCCACTTGATTTTTCACTACTGTTAATAACTGGTTCAGCGTTTGTGGTGTGTGCTACATTTTGTGTTGTAAATCCACAGGTGGTTGTGACCACACCATGGGGCCAGCTGCTCAATCTCCCGTTTGTAGTCACCTTCTTGGATGAGATCGTTGATTGCTTTGTCATCTGAAAGCTTCAGGAGTTTAACAGAGGGATCCTCGGAGGTGCAGTTGTTTGTGTAGAGGAGGAACAGCACACATCCCCGAGGGGCGCTTGTGCTGATTGTCTGGGTGCTGAATGTGCTTTTACCCAACTTCACCTGCTGCTTCCTATCTGTCAGAAAGCTGGTGATCCACTGACAGATGGGGACAGGCACAGTGAGCTGGGTCAGTTCAGAGTGGAGGATGTCTGGGATGATGGTGTTGAATGC